ACTGACCCATTGCGAAATCGCACCTTAATATTTTCGTATTCCCCCACTCGAGCGTAGCAAAAACATTCCCCAGACGGATAAATACATTTTCAAACAAACCATTACGCGGAGTGCGAAGAACCCAGGGGTGCCCCATGTGCAATATAGCCAATGGCCACTTCCATTTCCTGTTCTTTTGGCACGACCATTACGCATACGCCACGTACGCCAATACGAATGCAAATATTATACCATTATTGCGCATGAAATGCCAACGTAAACAATAATAAACCTCAAGACCTCAAGACGATGGCGAAGGAAAGGCCAATAAACAAGAAGCCAAATGCGGCCACCAAAAAATAAAGTTGAAGCATGAGGAAAGAGGAAAGAAAAACGGGGTATACGAAGTTCAAAGTTGGCCAAAAGAAATTGCGCGGTCAGCTTTGGCCAGTCGGTCATTAGCTAAAACCAAAGTCCCATTGTGGGCAGCTCGTTAACTTGGCTGGGGGAAAAAAAAGGGGGAGTGGATCTGAAGCATGGTTTTATAACCGAACTAACCTCTTACATAATGATGGGAAAATCTCTATGCCGGCCCCTGATAAGAAATGCGGCACACAAAGCCAGATAGATGGGGTAAAAATACAGATGGACAGAGCGAGAGATCGCTACGCTGATGGGGGGATTATTTTATGGCTCGTTAAGTTGTTTTAAATAAATTAATGAAACAACGGAAAATGTCCGAATGAAATTTAAATGAAGGCAACCCAAATGCAATGCATAATAAACCTATAAAATCTGAATGATGAAAATACCTAATTAAATTTGAACTGAATTCAGTGACCTTGAAACCCAATGTGTTTAAGCTTTAATGTAAATCAAATTGTACTAATTGATTAGGACATTCAAATAACTATAAGCAATTAGTGAACCATTTTCACGCATTAAGACTCAAGAAAGTATTTTTGTTTAAAACAAATCGAAAGATTTATGAATTGAAAAGATACAATACATCTGCCAAGATTTCGTTGGCGAATCTCTTAATGATTTTATTTCTTATTTATTTGGGTATATTTAGAAAAATACACTGATATAAAAATGGAACAGAAAAATAAATACAAAAACATTATGGTCAATACAAAACATAATAAATTGGGTGGTTTATTTTGAAAGTATTTAAATTGAAGGTAGAATATTAAAATTAGTTTTGATCTTAGTTATGTTTAGTTTATAGTAATGTATTATTTTCATATTATATTCAAATTTTTAAATCTTTAAGTGAATATGAAATCCTTGTATCTACTTCGTTTTTTTTCAGTGAACCTTAGCAATAACAAAGGAAACATTTAATATTTAAGCTACCACATCCAATAAAAGAGATTTCAGATAGAACAAGTTCTTAAAAACCTCAAAACTCTCTTTATTTTTTGACTTTGAAGTTTATTCTTTCAAGAATTTCCAATTAAGTCGAAGTCCACACACCATCTTCAGAAGTTCCCCAAACCTACATTGCCCCACTTCTCGATGACTTTAAAACTTTCTGTGCTGACCAAAGCAATTCACTTTGCAATGACTTTTCCAGCTTAGCGAGGGGGTCTTCAGGGGTCTTTCCCCCTCAAGTACTTCCAATCGTGGTCAATGCATAATTCAGAACTCTTATTCGAGGGGCCACAAAATAAACAAAGATGACGCTGTGAAAATATTGAAGACCACACACACTTACGCTGCTGGAAAATTGAATTGATGGGGTAAGGTTCACTGGGTTTGACCCCAACTTTTTGCATATGGTATCAACCTTTTCGTGACCTTTTTCAGTGCAAGCTCAAGCATCAGAGCATCGATTTTCGATTAAATCTAATTGACATGACGGACCACGCCCACTTCCGCCCATCCTGTCTGTCTGTTTTTCCTGTCAAACTTGAGTTTCCCCATTTCAACGCCAATTTCCACTGACCATTTTCCATTTCCATTTGACACGCTTCGGAATTTTCAGCAAGTCCTGGTTCTGTGCGTAAATTGTGGTAAATAATTTATGCCTTTCAACGTTGTTGACTTAACATTTTTTTGTTCTTTTTTGGTTTGGCCAAATTGTTTTTGGAACTCATTGTAGGCTTTAGACTGATGGCTTGTCATTAATTTTCGGCTAATCTCAATCAGTCAAACGAGACGGGGAAAATTCACTTGGGTTCTAACCATTCGAGCCATTCTAACCATTCCCATCTATAAGCCAGCTGTGAACTTTTATCGGTATTTGAGTGACAAGGCTCATTTCGGGTTTTCGAGGCCATTTCCGCTTTTGGGTAATTGAAATTTCGAAACTAGAATGGGGAAATTAACAATAAAATGGTTTAATTGGAATTGGGTTAGCAAATGCTTAAGGTTTGAATTTATCACATCCGGACAATCGTAGAAATCATCAACAATTTTGGGGAAGCGATTTAAAGAAAATACATTTATTTTGAAATATAAATCAAGAATTTGTCTTATCTAAAAAGCTCCATTATTCATTTCCTAAAATATTATTTAGAAACTGAAGTTTTCTCTTATTTTTTAGCAATGTTCCTCGAAAAAAAGTTTGAGTAATCAAATTCTAAAAATATTTTTCATCATTTATAACACATAGAAAGCATTGGTAATTTATCAAATCTATTAAAAGTTCCAAAACAAAATTTTCAATTACTCAAAACAAAACATTCACCCAGTTCCAAGCGTTTTTCCTGCATGACAGTTCATTTTCCAAATATATCTCTGGTTTTCAGCCAGCTGGCCACAAATTTGTTGATGTCATCAATGACATTTGTATAATTCTCGTTAATAAAAATGCACTTAGTGGTAAGTTGGGGGAGTAGTTAGGTAGTGCTTGCCTTGCTTATCTGGCAAACACTTCATGACCGCCCCAATATTCCGACCCCGGGAAAACCGATTCATGTTTGTAATCTCCTTTGTTGCTTTGGTTTTCCTCCACTCGCTTTATTATTTTAAGCGCAAATATTGATTTCCTTTTCTCTTTTGTGGTGGCTTCCCCGAGTTTCCGAGTGTTATAAATGCAATACAAACGACCCAAAGTTTGATAAGTTTTTGTGTTTCCATTTTTTTTTGGGTTTTTATGCCCCATATGTTGGTTATAGTTATGGTTGACGGACACCAAGTGCACTTAACGATATGATAAGAAATGAACGACCAACAGAGCTGACCTAGATAGAGAATCCGATAGCTGATATATAGTACAGATGAGTTATGTACTCGTTTCTCATATATGTGAGACAACAGTGAATGCTCAATTAAATGGCCAAGTGTTCAATTGCCATTAAAGATGGCTCATTACACTGAATGGGTTCGTGAGCTTCGCACGATGAATATTAATCGTTATGTTTTATGTTTAATGTCTCTGCCAGCAGGACAAAGCAAATTAATTAAATTATAGCGATTCCTCAACATTTATGCCGTAATTGATGTTGGGGCTGTGAACTAGCTGCGGCCCATAACAAAAGACCATGCCGCACATACAGTTCGGCTCATTGGCCTATATAAAATGCCAGTGCCAGTGCCAGGGCATAAACAAAAGCCAGAAATGATTAATAAACTGAAGCCAAAAAGGGGGCGGCACATCAGTTCGGTTCAGCTGGCTGACTGGTGTGTGGAATACAGATGAAGTGACATAATTGAAAGCCAGGAGGTGGGGCCGAGGAAGCCTTTGAGAACTTTCTGTGTGAACCTACTCGTCGAGTACATGGGGCAAAAGTAATCAACTGCCAACAGAAAAGGGAACGAACCAATTCCTTATAACAGCCAAACGGCAGAAAGATTATGCGCCTCAGTTCGCATGAGAGCTATTTTCAAAGTTCCCAGGAAAGGTTATGTTTAGTCAACAGGACGGAAAACTGCGGCTCAATTTATACTTTAAAAGAATTTAAAGATCAGAAAACGAATGTCTATTAAGTTCAGTTAACCAGTTACCTTCCCTTTTAATAAGTTGTTTTAAAAATAACATAATAATTTTTAAGTTCAAGATTTTCTTAAAGTTACTAAATTTCTTATTTATAAAAACCAAAGCCCAATATTGCAAAATGAACCAATGATTCCAAAACTATAAACCTAAATAAATACCCACACAATGAAAAATGCTATAAAGAGAACGCAAATCTAATTTTTAAGAAAATATTTGAATTTCGAAAGACATGTACAATATGTACGCTCGTTTCAAACTTTATGTGTTCTGCCACATCAAAAACTATTCCATTGCGTAAGTACATATGTAAACATTTACCATAAACAAATTAAAATGACAGAACTAAATGTCCACATTGAAGAAATTTAGAATATAAGATGACCTAGCAGAAATATAGTTTATGGCTAAGAAAAAAATGCATTTGTTGTTTTGACTGGCACTTAACCTACTTAGAACATTTATTTTTATGAGTTTGTAGGTTCCAAATTTTCATATTAACTTAAAAAAGTTTCATCATGGAGACCCTTTTTTATAACAATATTTTCCATAATTGAAAGTATTACAACAGACTTTGCGACCCAAGTAAATCAATTTCGCATAAAATAAATAAAGAAATAGATTTTCCTTTCAAGTTGCGGTCCATCCTCTTCATATGCAGATGTCCTTCGCCGATAAAAAGGCGAGACCCTTATGGGATAATCTGGTTTTAGGCAGGAAGCACATAAGTCGCAGAGCTCTCTTTCATATCGGAATTTTCAAAGGAAATGCGAAAAAGAACTCGGGGTGGAAATGGGTATGGGATTGGGGAGGCCATAAAACCAAATGAAAAACGAGTCGAGATTTACGCTCGAAACGGAAAAACGCAAAAACAAAAAACTTTTAGGCGTGATTACGTAAAATGCGTAAAAAGAACAGAGAGAGAGAGAGGGAGAGAGTAGCATTGATGAGAAAGAGAGGGCGTCATAGGAACCACTTGACGCATTTCAAGGACACGTGCAGCCTTCGCAAGGACATACGCAGCATAAAAGAGTATGGCGTTACACAACACTAGCTCGTAACGGTCTTTTAAACTTACCGTAGTTTGATAGTTGGCAGCTCCTTTGATGGCTGCCTTTTATTTTGTTTTTTTTTGCTTTTACTTCAGCTAAGTAGGCCCTGGCTGAAATGCTTTCGACAATCGATGGCAGTGGCCAGAACACAGATACTTTTCGAAGGTGACAAGCAGCTAACAAATTTTCCGTTCTCGCCGAGTCTTGTTGTTTTCAAGGGATTTTTTAAAACTCGAAAACTTGTGCGATTTTCGGTTTTCTCCACGAACGTAAGACGCGTAGTATTCGATCGCTGTGCAACGGTAGCGTAACGGTGAAAAGAATCGGGAGCAGAAGAACCGAACGCCGCGAACTCAGCTGATTGAATGAAAACGCCAAGCGGAGCAGCAGCCACATTAGCTCCAAGCAGCGCTCTTTGAGAGAGGGACAACGTGGCAGAGAGAGCGATAGAGAGCTCCAATTAGTGGGGGCAGAGCAGAGGCAGAGCAACAAGCAGCGGCAGAGAGCGAGAGAGAGGCGTCCAGCAGGTAAGCTTGTTGCATTGTTAGTGCTGCCCCCTGAACAGGGATGAAACTTAATGGATATGAAATATTACAAAAATAATCATCAATTTAAAAAATAATTCATTTTAAATAATTGGGTTGAAACACTGATAGGTTTCTTTTTTTTTTAATTTCATTTTTTCCTTTTTGATTTCTTTTCTTATATGTGTAAACAAAAGTATTATTATTAAATATTAAAATATTAAGGTCTTCTAATTATTTTAAAATATATGCCAAATTTTGTGTAGATCCTTATATAATAAGGGATACTTCCAAAAACTTCCTAACGGAATTATCTTAATTTTAAAAAATACGTTTATTGTTTTAGTGTTCCTCAATTCTTTATTGTTTTATTTTAACCAAACAAATATTTTAAAGTTGATAAAATCTAAAAATTTTTAAAATGTATTTCAATATATGAAACCCAAAATCCAATAATCTCAAAGGATGCACCACCCCTTTTTCTCCCCCCTTTTCCTCTTTGAGACATCCATGGACATGGATGCAGCGACGTCAGCAGTGCAGTTGCAGCAAGAAACAGTTATAAATTGCCTGAAATGGAGCATTTTTAGCAATTTTTCATTCACACATTCCCAGCGTCGCTCTCACGCGCAGCGCTGCAGCTCAATCTTTCTCTGTGTCATTTATGTTGGGGCTGCTCTCTTTCCACTCTCTCTCTCTGGCCCCATGGCCTCTCCTCTCTCAGCATAAAATGCAAAGCCAACTAAACCAGCGGTGTTGTTGTTCTTGTTGGGGCTTATGTAACTTTCGGGCATCCGCAGGCACAGAAAGCAGAAAGCGTTGAAGGGCAGTCAGCGACCTCGTTCTAGAAAAGAAGCCATCTCTCCAGCCCCACCACCCCCCAAAAGAAAGCCCAGAAGAAGAAGGAGAAGCAGCCACAGCAGTGAAAAGCGCGTAGTATAAACATGCTGTAACATATACAGTACTACTTCTGGTACTCAAAGCAAAGAATGGTATAGCAATAGTAAAAGATCTTCAAGTTTGACCCCTAAACATCCAACAAGATCATGTTATGTAACAGTTCTAATATTGTTTTTAACATAATATCCTTAAAATTAATCTAAAATAAATATAATTTTAAGTTTACAACTTACTACTGATAGTCAAACCAAAAAATGGTATAGCAATATTAAAAGAACTTAAATTTTGACCTCTCAATATCTAAAAAGATCATGTTTTAAGAAATGTCTAAAAATATCCTCAAAATAATATCTTTAAAAGTCAACCTTTTCGACCTTTTTTCAACCTTTTAAAACAAAAGAGAGCGGAAACTTAGATTAAAATATAAGTTTACAATTTTTTTTAAACCTAAGATGAAAATCTATTGCATAAAAAGTTCACTTTACAAAAGTAGAACTGTCCAACCAAAAAGGGGAACGAGAAAGAAATGTAGGGTTCTTGCCATGCAGAACAGGAAGGGTGGTGGAGGTGGTTCTTTATGGGTATAGTTTGGGGGTGTGGCTTGGCGGGAATATCAAAGTCATGCCAAATTGCGCAACAGCCAAAGCGTTGTTCTTGGTAACCCGCTGACCGAGGATTTGGTGGAGAGGGGAAATGGAAGCTAAAAAGCTAAGCTCGAATTCCAGTGGTCAAGTCTGAAGTACTCGAAGAAATTCTTAATAAACATTATGTACTAGACTTGCCATGGTTACAACACAAGTTAGAAACTTCAAGGTTTACGTAAAGTACCCGCTCTGCTTTCTTTGTAAGCCAATGAACAAGTTATTCTAAACATTTCGCTTTGTAAACTTAAAAAATCAGAACAGGTTTATGGATTAACTTGAATGAAAATATACAATGTAGCAAATACTTTCACCACATAGTTATAACTTTCCTCCACGAGCAGTTGTGCTTTATATGACTTTATTATTATTTCTTAACAATATCCGCACTTCCCCAGCAACATCCGTACTTACCAATTCAGGTATTATGACATCCTTTCGTTCCTAGGCTGTCCTTTGTTCCCCGTTCCCCAACATGCCTTATAAACCCCATTTGTGGAGCAACCTCTCACCTTTTTATGGACTTCCGCAGCAATAGATCTAGTAAACAATAATGCCCCCACCCCACTCTCTTTTCACTGGGCACTATCACATTCTGCCGGGCCCGTTCAAGCGTAATTTAATTTCTTGCGCCATTTATTTATAGTGTTCAGGAGGCAAAGGAACTCGGGCCAACGGCCAGGATAGTTTTGCCTGCGGGTAAATTATGGCTCCTGGGTAAATTAGGTTAGGTCACAGTCAGGATGGAACGATGCGGATGTAGATGGATAGGTAGGGTTCACCTCTGATGCCATTGGCGAGTCTTCTGGAAAATGTCACTGGACCGAATGTGACACTTACTAGAACAAATATTTACCCCGTTTATGATTTATGATCTTATATAATCAAAAATATGAGTGCAGCTTTAAAGTTGTTTATAAACCTATTTAAGTTTCCTTATTACCAGGTATCGTTCATAAAAGTTTTGAGACTGTTTTGTATCTAAAAACTTCTCGTTTTATTTATTTATTTCTTGGTACATATGTTCAACAGGCTTTCAAAAAGTTATGCTATATTTTTTGTAAATTTAATACTTGTATACTTAACCAACTTTTAGTGGATGCTTAGTTCTCTAATGGGTACTATCCCCGTATAAGCCATATATGCCCCCTTGTTTATCACCCCCATATTTCGTTTTTCTGTTTTTGTTATGCGGTGGCATCTGTTTTTGCCACAGGAAAAGTGAAGGAAAAGCGGGGAAAAGCGGAAGGGAGTGCGTAAAATGCGTTTTAATTGAAAGGAAATGTTCAAAGCACATGTGCATCTGCTAGTCAAAAAGGGGTGGGAGGGGAGGTGGTTCGGAAAAGGGGGCGGCAGGCCTGTGTCTGCTAATTGAATTACCTTTCGGTTGCCTTTCCCATTAGAAGTGCCGCCAAGTTCTCGAGCTGCTTGTTTGCTTTTCATTTAATACCCATTTTGATTCAATTTTTGTTTTCTTATTTTTCTGACCCAATTTCGTTTTTTGCTTTCGTGCATTTGCAGCTGTCTCCGTCTAACTTTGTGCAGCCCAGAGAGGGCCAAGAGAATCGCTCTCGCTCTCTCTTTGAGGTGGGTAGGACTTGCACTTTCTAACGGTTCTAAATTTAAAAAATATATTTCATAAATGTTTTTGAACAAAAGTTAGGAACTAGTTTTTAAGTTAGGAAAAACAATTAAATATGATTATATTCCTAAATTATAAACTAAATACCATAAGGTGTTTAATATAATATAAAGGTTCCAAACACACTAAAAATTTTAGGAAATAGTTTTACAGAATTAAAATAAATATGATAATAATATGATGACAAATAGTATTATAAACCAAATACCATAATATATTGGTTCTGAAAAAAGTACCTTTTTAACGTATACCCTTCTCATCTCTAGACTTCCAGGATGGGTGCAGGTGATGCGGAGAACGGCAAGAAGATCTTCGTGCAGAAGTGCGCCCAGTGCCACACCTACGATGTGGGTGGCAAGCACAAGGTGGGTCCAAATCTGGGCGGGATCGTGGGCCGCAAGAGCGGCACTGCCCCCGGATACAAGTACACGGAGGCCAATCAGAAAAAGGGTGTCACCTGGACGGAGGGCAACCTGGACGAGTACCTCAAGGACCCCAAAAAGTTCATTCCCGGCACCAAGATGGTCTTCGCCGGTCTCAAGAAGGCTGAAGAACGGGCCGATTTGATCGCCTTCCTCAAGACAAACAAATAAAATACTAATTCCTGCGAAACAACAAGATCGGTAACCATAATATCTGGAACACTGCGCTAAAGAAGACATCCAAAAGATGCCGCTATTCCTTGATTTTATCTTTAGCTGGCAACTATCCTATGCCCAATAACATTAAAACTTGTTTCCTTCTTCTTTATTCAATTAAAGTTGATGAAACTAAAACGGCGTTTTTTATTTTGATATGCGCGCGTAATGGAATTTATGGGAGTTCTAAAGCATACAGCTTTTAACAGATGTTATTATACGGTCATATTAAACAAAATTTATTGGCTCCTATTACTAGCGGTTAGACTTCTCGGTTTTTTATTACTAGTAAAAAGATTAAATATATTTATATATATTGATTTATAAAAACTAATTCATTTTACATTTAACGGTATTCTGGAATATGAAATGGTATATGATGGTATTTATTTTCAGGTAATATACGGTCCCACACTAATTTCAAAAAACGAAACGACTAAACACAGCGGTCATTCGTGAAAAATCGGCAACGCTCGACGTTTGTGTTCAATGTAAGTAGTGGGTGGACTTTTCGAATATTCAAGTGACGTAAATATTACCTTGAATAGTTATTGATTAGCGAGTTCTCGTACAGATAATAAGGGTAAACACTTCCGCGTAGTTAAAGTTGCATAAGTTCCAGCCTCGAAATGCTGTGAAAATTATTCGCATGCAAATTAAATATTTTTTTGGGGGATGATTTAGGTTACATAAACGCGTCCTTGTGTGTGTGTATAATAGTGCGATTTATCCGGGAGATGTTTACTTGTTTATTTGTTGTACGTTTTTATTAGTCAAAAAAGTGAGCAAAAAATTATTAATGGTAAAAATAGCAATCCAAAGTCACATTGCCATTGAAAAAATCGCCAGAGAGCGTCGATTACATGAGCAAAAAGAGAGAGTACAGAACCCGATCATCAGCTGTCTCGCTCGCTCTGTCTGGCAAAAAATATATCAATTCTTGGAATCTTTTTGTTTGCCTTTGCCGTGGCTTTGGAGTTTAAAAGCCCGCCACGTGGTTGCTAAGCAGGTTTCTTCTTTCGCCAATGTGTTATTTTCTATATGGCAAAAAAACGAAGAGTTTTCACCTTTGCAAGGAATGAGGCTTATGTAACATTCGCTTTTCTAAGGAAACTTGGATGTTGGCCCAATTTGCACTCATCTCTTTGTTCTCACCCTCTCTCTGTCACACCCACACAATACAGCTGCCTTTGGCCTGCTTCCAATTTTCCAATTGCACTTTCCCTTCCTCTCGCACACGCACACGCATCATGAGAACTTACTAAAAAGTTCTCATCAAGGCCAAATCAGATGTTGACATTGTTGTTGCTTTGCCTTCACTCACTCTCTAAGTGCATGCTTTGTACACAGAGGGAAATTAAAAATGTGATATAATAGATTTATATTTTAGACGTAAAAAATTTTTATTCAAAAACTATTTCCACAGTAATAAAAATTTTTCTATATATTGCTTTCATAAATGAATATTTGTTCCAAATCAATTTTAAAAATGTTAATATTTCTGTATTTGACCTTGTCTGATTTCTTCCAGTGTAGTTGCGTGCGTGTGTAGGTGACTTACTCATTGCAACGACACTTTGCTCTCTCAAGTTCAAATAGCTGCATGCAACTTATTAGCCGGCAATTAGCAACTTGACCGTAACACAGACCCTGGGAGTTCTACTATTCCAGTTATATAAACAACTAACGTTTTTTCATCGAATGCTTCCTGTAGAATTTTTTAGCCTGTTGCTGAGTGATTTCATTCTGACGCAATTATTCAACGATTGGCGAATGTGTGTGAGGGAGAGAGTGGGGGCAACAGCATGTGACCAGCGTCTGAAGCTTTTTCAAAGTCTGTTTTTTTGATGACGTTGCCCTACACGCGCGTAAAAAATAATATGTGGGTGGAAAGGGGGAGAAGGTAAATGGGAATGCAGACTAAGTTAGATAATAACAATTAGAGCCTTATCAGAAACAACAGCCGACTAATGCACTTAGCATAAGCGATTTTAATAATTCCGTTTCCGCAGCAACCTTATCAATTGTTTACATAACGAGGCAAGGGGACAAATATTTTTTTCACGGCCCCTACACACAGAAAAATTATCAGAAATGTATCAACGTTTATTGTTATATGGAATTTTTATAAACTTGCTAAATAATATTACTAATGTTTTGTTGATTAATAGTTATTAGTAATGTTTTAATTATTTGTACTAATGTGTGATGATAATGTAGGGTTTAACTTGGATCTCAAAAAAATTAAATCCATTTTTTTAACTTTGCAAGTACCAATTCGTAAATAATTTTCAAAAATTAAGTAAAATAGTTTTAAGAAGTTAAATAATTTGTTTCCAGTGCAACACGTATTATCAGATTTAATAGATCTGAAACGTTTGCATAATGATAAGAATATAATTAATGATTAAGTTCTTGACAATACCAATACCAATCAGCAAATATTACTTTCGAAAAACTATGAACTTTAAAAAAAACCAACTTTGCTAACAACAGAGTTAATAAATGGTAGCTTAATAGGAATTTCTTTTTAGAATTCAGTCTAAGTTGATAGGTACTTTGATCATTTACTAATTTTCTTTATCTTCCATCTTACAGTCGAGTCCGTGTTAACACATCAATCAACCACATAATCCACAATGGGCGTGCCTGCTGGTGATGTTGAGAAGGGAAAGAAGCTGTTCGTGCAGCGTTGCGCCCAGTGCCACACCGTTGAGGCCGGCGGCAAGCACAAGGTGGGACCCAACCTGCATGGTCTGATCGGTCGCAAGACCGGACAGGCGGCCGGATTCGCGTACACGGACGCCAACAAGGCCAAGGGTATCACCTGGAACGAGGACACCCTGTTCGAGTACCTGGAGAACCCCAAGAAGTACATCCCCGGCACCAAGATGATTTTCGCCGGCCTGAAGAAGCCCAACGAGCGCGGCGATCTGATCGCCTACCTGAAGTCGGCCACCAAGTAAAGGTGCTATCCACAAACTCACCAACAACCTCTGCAGGATGTCTAACTGTATTATTGTGTTCAGTCACAGTCCGGCAACAACAGCAACAACTACAAATCAACAAAGTACAGACCTAAAAACTACAATTATGTTAATTATAAAGTTTAAATAGGACAATTTATTATTTAATTTAAATAAAAAGTGGAATATTTAATTTAAACCCGATGAGAATTGTGACAACCACAAGAAAAAGTTAAATAATAAAAAAAATAACTAAAAACGATGGAAAGGTGTTTTATTTTGAGTGGGGGAAAAAAGAATACTTTGAATTTTTAGAATCTATACATTGCTAGAACTATCTATGATCCCTTGCTCTTAAGTTCAAGCTTTAAAGCTTATAGCATGATACCATTAAAGAGGTTTCTTTTTAAGGAAACTCCCCAGCTCTTAGTCATGCAAAATTAATTTCATTATCGGTAAAGAGAACTATGAACTGGCAAATTTATTTCTCTGATAACCATTTATTGAAAAGCAAAGAGTAGGTCATAGGCCCCAGACTATATCACGTGCCTCCACAAAATTATAGTACAAAGAGAGGCCAATAAGAGATTTCTCTAGGTCTCGTTCCCTAGATAAGAACCGATAGCTAGTAACTGAACTATGAAACCGTTCTAAAAGAGCTCCGCACCTACCTAATCAAATATTGCGTCACAGTATGATAGCAATTTTGAAAGAGAGAAAGTAAACTTCTCTCTTAAATCACATGCCAATTCTTACAATATGAGTTATACAAGAATACACTTGAAGTTTCGAATAATTTTGGCTAGTTTATGTATATTTTCTTTTTTACACTCGCAAAACTTGATCGTACACTTTAATAACAATTTTATTATGCATTACATATTTTTCATTTCAATTATGCTTATTTGATTTAGTTTTAAATGAAAGAAATACTTGATAGGTTTATACAATATATTTTTGTTTTCTTTAGTTTTGTTTTTTTTTGTTTAGTTGTGGGTGCGCTGACGCGATTATAATACAAAAGAAGTGCATATCATCTGGTTTAGAAAAACTCTGTACAGCGGCGCACACATAATATTAAGAACACAAATAATAATAACAACAAAATATAAACAATCGAATTGAATGGAACAATCCTGGAGGATAGACGTTTGTATTTGCTCTGCCATTACAGTGAATTGCTTTTTTGGAATGCCAACAAAAAATCGAATTGTTCTCTCAATACGTTTTATGGACCGAGGGCGTAAATGGGCGTGGTCGGAGGTATGGACTAAACAAGAACTTAGTTTAAACGGGGAACAAACATGCGCTTAAGGTAGCAAGAACAAACATCATTGTAAGTGTGGTGGAGAGGTGAGGGATCAGGCTGGAGATATAGATCCCTCCGCGACTCTTATTGTTAGTTAAGGTATCAGGCTGGCGGCCTGGCTAGAATATTTGTTGTGTGCCTGTGCATGGATGACTGATTGATTGGACCACTTAGGCCTTGCCAGTGATGGGTGCGGAACCTTGTTTCTGGTTCTCGTTCTCCTTCTCCAGCTGCTTGCCCAGGTATTCCCTGATAATAAAAACAAATAGTATTTTGAGTACACAGAGAATTTTGATCATCATAATGGTCATGGATTGAAAATGAATGACATGAGGATCACAGGACCTGTATGCGCGATATGGGGAATTCATGAGAGAATATGCACTCAAAATCCATACTAACCAGTTGTGTACCATCAGCTTTTGCACGGCCAGCAGGGCTTCATATCGCACATTGGGATCCTCATGTCCCAGGTGCTGCATCACGATCTGTTTGCCACCCAGCTGCTCCAGCACACTAAGGAAAAAATAGGTATTAATATAAGTTCTCACTGTTTTGGGTGGGTTTTTAAAGATGACACCCTCAAACATCGAGCGTTCCAAATATCTATACTTACTGCTTGCCGCGGGGATAGTGACGCACATACTCTCCGATATCAAAGCAGGCGACGGAGAGGATGATGGCGTCCTTGGAGGTCTCCAGCAGGTGGACAAGGATGCGCAGCAGCTCGTAGTTCTTCTCGTTCAGGCGCTGGGCATTCTCGCGCCAGAACTTGGCCGACTTGTGGACAGGCGACCACTCCAAGCGACCGCTGCGCACCTCAGTGGCGTACTCATCGAAGGAGCTCAGGTCCTGCACCGAGTTCTGCAGCTTCTCGCTGAGGTACTCCACATCGGCGGTGATGTCCTCGTCATCGAAGCGACGCTGCTCGAGAATGGATAGCTGCTTCAGCACCTTGCACTGGACCATGGCGATGCAATGGTCCTTGGCCACCGATAAATCCTCTGGCTTCTCAATTAGATTGCGGAAGACAGCGAGGATGATGCGGGTCACCTTCTCCTTGGCACAATCGCTGAGGATATCGGCCAGGATGGGGATCACGCTGAACTTGTTCATCTTGGCGGCCAGCAGGGGATTGAAGGTCAGCACCCACAGGCAGAAGATCAACTGGTATTGCACCTATGAATAAGAAATCGAATTTAAATTGTACCAAACAATTTAGGCATTTCAATTTCAAACTCACCTGGAAGTTGACACGGGTCGAGAGGATGCGGATCAGAGTACTGATGCCGTCGACGCCCACGAAGGCAAATCGGTACTCATCCACGCGGAGCATCATCTGCAGGCAGCGGGCCACCGATTGGATGTATTCGTTGTTCTATCAATGTTAAACAACTCCGATTAGTTTATCCTCGAATTCGATTTTACTTTTTATTGGTTAGGTTTGTTAGTTATGACGATATCAGCTGGAATCTATTTTTGGCTAGCTACAACAACGATAATTACTATAAGCTACGCACAATAGGAGAAATATAGTGAAATAGAGAGTGTACAACATTTAAAGAGAGTTTAATATGCAACATCAATGGGGGTTCGAACAGTTCACCTTATGCCATTGTTTATCTTTGTGTAATTTTGGTTGATTTTCGTGTAGTTTTAACCATCACCTGAAACTTGATTTACCGTTACACCACACTGATATGCCTTTTATACACCGCTTGACAACACTGGTTGCTAAGTCCTTCGCGCCGGATTCTCCTTCTGTTTTCTCACGCGCTATTAGTCGGGTTAGTAAACAATTACGAAATAGACTAAGAAATATCACACAAACACACGGATCACAGTCGAAGAGGTATAGTTTAACGTCCATTTAAATTATAGAATGCATTTTAGAATTTTGGGATTTAATTAATATGGAAATTCTTAATATTTTTGTTATAGACCATTATATTTTGTTATATACCATTAAAATAAAGAACCTGAGAATGTTAGGATCAAATTTGTTCGAAAATTAGAAAAATTTTTATAGATCATAGATTTTGTACCATATAATATGACTAGTCTTATCGACTGTGATTCTTCGTATGCCCATAATTGTTTGATAGTTTATTCGTGTTTTGTGTGTGTTTTTGGTGGGTGGGTAAGTGGATGTATTGGTTGTTTCGGCGAGTGGATTGCTGCGAGATTGTTTTTTTTTGGGTTTAGTGGTTTGGAATACCGGTATCACGGATTTGCTGTCCTGCTGCTGGTGGTCACTGCTACCGCCCACCTCCCGATAGCTCTCGTTGGCCCCCTCGGCCAGCTGGTGCTGCTGCTGCAGCTGGGCCAGAGTGGGACTGTACTGGTGGCCATGGTGGTCTTTGTCTTTGCCATGCTGTCCATGCGTGTGCACAAGGATCGTTTGTGTCCGCTTGGCCAGCTGGGCCATCTCTTGCAGATAGGCTAAGCCCTAGGGTGGGATCAGAGGTCGTGGGTCGTGGGGGTGGTTCGTCCACAGACATCGATTCAATCGATTCATAGATGGTAAATTGCATATAAATTAAAATTGTTCACAGGGTTCAAGTGCAGCGGAACAGATAAATACGTTTGATGGACAAGAACACAAGGTAAATAACATTATTATATTCTGGTGCTATATATGTGACACATGACACACGACTGCACGTGATGATCGGGAGGGGTGAGGTGGCGAAATATATATCCGGGACAATATAAGGTTTGGATATGGTGTGACAAGATTCAGAGTGCTGATGTATGGCATAATGTAGTTACAAACTCTTTGTTTGGATTCCTCATTTGCAGAGATTTCACGAGTATTTCACCAAGACGAGGTCAGTTGTGTTTGGTTTTTAGTCTTATACGAGGTCAGTTTCGATTGGTTTAAATTATAATAAATTATTATGGGTATATATACGGAAAGCAATACTGACAAGACATGCAGGAAGCTGAATATAAGGTTAGCTTTGAGTAGAGTTAGATAATTTTTGCTTAGGTATATGAAATAGGGTTTTAAAAATAGGGGATAGATTTCAATTCGAATTAGGAAGGGAATAAAAAAAAACTTTAATTAATCAAGCAAGAACCATGCTATCTTCCTACGCTACATATCACATGCTAAAAGCTAGTGCCTGATTTGAGAACCCATGAATCATTCCGGAAAGTAGCAAATTTTGTCAATATACAACTAATTTAAATATTTTCACTAACTTAATTAATATTCTAACCAGTAGTGCAGGGATTAACCTCTTATTACTTTTCAGACCAAAAATTGCTTTGTAAAATAGAACATTTCGTCAATATACAACAAAAAACAAAACTTGCACTGCATCCGATTCTGCATCCTGGGATTTTTAACACTTGGAAAACCAAAATCCAGTGCAAGAATTGCTTCGAAAAGTGCCAAGTATATACTAAAACATTCTTCACATGCTCTCCTGGCTTCATTTACATATCATTGACAACATAAACATGCTCGCGGAGGGCTCATCCTCTACCGCACACATGCAGACTCACGTTGCTGGCCAGCTGATCCTTCAGGAACTGCAGATAGAAGTTCAGGTCGGACTTGGGCATGGTCTCATGGCCCCAGCAGGCGAACTTGGCGAGGATGCGCGACGCCATGTTGACAATGAAGCCATCCTGGCGGTTCAGCAGGTTGAGGAACGGACCCCAGATGCACTGCTTCAGCTTGCCGGCCGTCTCATGGAACAGATCCACCCGGGAGCGATCCTCCTGCAGCAGATCGTCGAGCAGCACGAGTATGTACTGGATGGTGGAGTCCTTGGACAGATGCGAGACCAGATTGAGCAGGGTCTTGACCACCTGGCTGGAGTTCGTGGCCAAGTAGCTGGCGCGTGACTTGTCCAGAGCGCTGATCGCCTTGTAGTCCTCCTCGCTGATCATCTGCGACTGCATGTATGATGCCCAGTTGATCGCCCTCGTGCGGATGTCCGCCGCCTGCTGCTGCAACACCGATGTGGCAGCAATCATATCTGCAGGGTGATCCAATAGACCAGGTTAATAGGCGAGAACGATGGGGTGCTGCCCTGGACAGCCCAACCACCCCACACACCCACACACTCGCACTTCGATTTTTCACCAGAGGTCGACTGCGAATTGCGGGGCGGTGTGGTGCGGGGGAAAAACTCACCAATGTTCTCCTCGGGCAAATACAAGGCGGTAGTCATTTTGAAGGCTTTCTTGCGACGACGCTCGGCACACACAAATTCAAGCACAGAATTTATGAAAATCTATCAAATATTACCCAGTGTTTTTCACACTACTGCGACACGACCGAAATTCAGCTGACTGGTCTTGTGACTTTTCTGCAGCCGTTGATCGAATAGTCGATTAGTGAACATCGATAGGTGAGCGATAGCTGAAAGCTATCGGTGTCTTGGGGCTGCCAACTGGTTTTTACCAACTTCGAAGAAAATATTTTCGAGTTTTTAAAACAAAACCCCTTTATTCACCAATTTACAAAATTGATGTGCCGCTTGTTTTTATATTTTCTTAACTCAGGTTTCCCAAAACATCTTTCGCATTTCAGCTTCACAGACCAGAATATTTTAAACAAATTTTTCAACAACCTCCAGGTTGTTGAGCCCAACAGTATCTCCAATATGCATTATTTACTTTAAAATCAATTTAGAAATTATATTTTGAGTTTTTCTTACCTTAATAATAATTTCAGACCCATTTTTGATAAAAAGTCGAACAGTAATAATTATAAAACTTTGTGCTTTTAAAATATTTCAGTTTTATTTTCCAATCAAGAAAAAAATTCGATCTTTACATTTTTTGAACTAAACTATCAAGTTTAATCAAATTTAAATGTGTTCCTATGTATTGGCATTGTTTAACTTAAGTGATTTGTTTCTTTTAAGTACATTTCGTTTCCTGCTTGACAATATACTATATACAATCCTTATACCTAAGGAAAACAATCTTTTTTTAAATTCAAGGCAACGAAAACCAACAAGTTGGGCTTTTATATAATTACAAAAAATTTTAAAGGTATATCTTAGTCACAGATTGTCTTTTAAAGTTTGCATTGCCTTTGGTGCTTCAGCATATTCGTTCTAGCCGAAAAAGACTTCGAACAGCAGGCACACTTAAAGGGTTTTTCGCCAGTGTGGGTACGCATATGAACTTTCAGATCGCTAGATCGATGAAAAGACTTTGAGCAGTCATCACACTTGTGGGGTTTTTCTGCGGAGTGCGCCCGTATATGTCGATTTAGATCCGACTTGGACAGGAAGGACTTGTTGCATTGGGAACACTTGTTCGGCCTTTCATTAGAATTAGAGTGAGAATAAGAATGAGTCAACAGGTGGTGCTTGAGATGGTGGGCCTTTTTATAGGTCTTTGAACACTGATCACACTTGAACGATCGTTCCCCGGAGTGCATAGTAAAGTGGGCTCTGAGGGCATAGGGACGTGCATAGGAGTTTGGACACTGGGGACATTTGAACGGTCGTATGTCCGAGTGACTTAACAGATGTCGACTGCAACTTGAGGCATACGGAAACGACTTGGGACACTTGGGGCACTTGAACACTCGAGGAGGACCTGATGGTGAAGGCTTCGGTTTATCGGCCTGATCCTCTGAATGGCTCAAAATGTGTTGCTTCAACTGCTTTTCCTCCGCAAAAGTCTTTGGGCAATCGGAACATCGGAATTGCTTGCTATGAGATCGTGCGTGCAGTATACAGGAATCCTTGTCCGGAAACGATCTCGGGCAATAATTACATTTGTAGGGCAGGTAAGGTGTGGGTATACGTTCCGATGCAGGCAAATCCGATTTCGTTTTATCATTCTTATCATGCAAATGGGTAACGATGTTTTTCTTTAATGGGGTGGTGGATGCAGAAGTCTTTCGGCGCCGTTTTATTTGAGGCTTATCAGATGGTACGTCTGTTTCAGAGTCCGGATTATAATCGTCCTCTTCGAACCCAGTGGTGCTAAAATCTGAATCAGAAAAATCAGAATTTTGACCATTGCCGTCTTCTTCTGAATGAGTTACAATGTGTTGGCTAAACTGCAAGGCATCCGCAAAAGACCTGGGACACAGGGAACACTTGTAAAGCCGTTTCCGTCGAGAAGGTAAGTCCGTTGTTTTTGGTATACTACCCAGATCCAGGTCTAAAGCAGATGATATATACTTGTGACCATTATATTGTTCCGTTTCAACGACTTCAATCTTGCAGACATCTTCCTCGAATAGGTCGCTTTCCATTGCCTTACATGCCGCCTCCAGAAATATGTCCTCATCAATAGGCTCGTTTTTAACCTTGTATTCCTGGGCGTTATTCGATTCCGCACTATGTACATTTTTGAAAGGTTTTTCCGTCGCCTTGCTGCAAATGGAATCCTCACTGTCTGAAATCCGACAGACTTCCTCCTTCTGCAGTTTTCGGATAATTCCAAATGTGGCTCGGGCATCCTCCAAGCAGGTTGGACATATAGTTTCCGGAAGTGAATCGCCTCTCTCAACCTGGTAACCCGACCACTGGGCAATCATATTCGGAATGGACATTTCCGGGCCCTGCACACCGTCAAAAATATTGATCATATCGCCATCCTGTTGCAGGCAAACCCGGCATACTTCCTCCTCCTCCATTTTCCTAAAAGCTAGCGATTAGAAAATAGTTTAAATGTTACATTTTTCTTACACTGGGGATATTTTTTAATAGCGACTATTAATTGTTTACCATAATTCCAGTGTAACCGTGACTTGGGTTTTCAAATATGCATACCATCTGGAGAAAAATTTTCTGGTATTTTTATGGTATTGCTATTTTCATGAATATTTTTATTGAATAAAACAAAATGCAGTTCTCATTTCCCTGCAAAAGAAAGCGCTGCTTTCACAAAAATGTAAACTATACACCTTTTCCGAGTTGCGAGAATGGAGAACGTCATCAGGGAAGATTTACAGGACTCTCTGTAGAGATAATAGATCCAGTTCAGGCGAAATCTTTGTATGACAGCGGCTGTTTTGGCAAGGGAAGCAAATCCCGCGGAGGACCGGCATCTGGAGATGAGGATGAAACGCTACTTCTGAGCTTGGAGGAGTCCTGTTTCCTGGCCTACTACTTGAACACTTTGGAGATAACCAACTTGGCTGGCAGTTCTATGGACTTCCAAACATTTTTAGAGTCTGCCAAGAAGCTAAATGAAAGATTTGTGGAGAACCTGGCCTGCTATTTGTATTTAAAGTCCAAGAATTGGGTGATCAAGAGTGGCATCAAGTTTGGCGGTGATTTTCGTAAGTTTTTAGCTCGAGAATTTTAATATGTATATTGTTATCATCAGATCTCAATTTCAGTTATTTACAAGCATAGCCCTCGTTTGTACCATGCCAGCTTCTTAGTTATAGTTCAAACTCCCTGTGATACAGATTACTATCAATCAAAGAACTTGAAGGGCGTTCAACGTGTGGCCGAAACTTCGGATAAGGATGTGCTGCTCCTAACTGTCCATCGACCTAAGGATATACTCAATCCCAAGGACTTGCAGGAGACCACAGTAACAGAGACAATTGTGCGGCGTTTCAATTACTTAACTTTTGTACAAAGCAAACAACAATAAGGAACTAATCGGAACTGATTCTACAACTTCTCCAGGCGATGCTTCTTGGGTATGCCGGTGCTGCGATAATCGGCCCGTTCTTGGAGGTATATCTGCTTGCACTCCTCCTTGAAGGCCTCGTTCTGGTACCACTGGGTAAGGCACTCCTTGAGTGCTGAGTTCTGCTTCCGACAGGTGGCCACCATTAGTATACTGCTGGCCTTGCAGCATTCCTGGAAGTCGGCCACTTCCTTGGAGCAGAATTCAGTTTTGGCACGATCCCGCATTATTTTGGGTATCAGTACTTCCCGCTCAACCTTGCGCAACCTGGTATCGTTGGGGTCACCTAGCGGGAGGATTATTAGTAACTAGTCCTTAGTGTTTGTTTCGACAACTCACCAAGTCCATGGGGATTATGGGGGTCTACGGTTGTCTGTTGTTCGAGGCTCATTTTGTGTTAAAAATACTATTTATTTTGTGTAACAACTTTTAGTGTGACTGCTAATGGTACTACTGAAAATGCCTTGTACGTAAAAATACTGAAAGTAAATATTCCTTATAGAATTCTTGATTCTATTTTGTATTACCTATTAAAATGTTTAACAATTAATTATGCACAGAATGCAAAGCATAGATATTCTTGCAAAAAATTGAAAATGTTGATTATGTGATGACGGAGCAACAAAATAGAACTAGACCAGGCTAAATTAAAAGTATTTTAAGAATGTTATAAAATAATAGTATCATCCGTTTCGTACCAAAATCCAGACGCATTTTATTACAAAACTGTGCATTTAGAATGCTTAAATCGAAACCTAACTAAGCGGCCAGGCTGGAGGAGCTGATGGGTTCCAAGTTCCGCACACCATCCTTGTCCACCACGGCGACGGTGAAGTTCTTGAGGTTGACGACCAAACGCTTCTGGATCTCGACGATGCACTTCTTGAAGACCTCGTAGGCCTCGTCCTGGGTGATGTTGGGGTGCCAGTAGCGATCGTAGATGCTGGATGCGAAGATGGCACCATAGCCATGACCGGCATAATTCACGGGCATCGCATTGGCCAGGTAGTCAATGAAGTTGAGCTCGGGACCAGCGATGGGATCGTAGCTGGATGGTAAAAAATGGGGTAAGATTTGGAGTGGATAAACCGATCTCTTGATCCTTACCCGGCCACAAACATGTAGACCTGATAGGGCGTGCGACTGCGAAGGTATTCGGCCAGATTCTTGCGCGTAAAATGGGCCGACGCATGTGGACTCAAATCGTATCCATTGCGCATCTTATACAGGGCTATGTTCTTCGCAATGAACTCGGTGAACTGCTCCGTGTCGCCAGACTCGCCGACGGTCGATATAAGTAGATTATCCGAAACCTTGTGGATTTTGTTCTGATCTGCAAAGGGTTCGAAGTGAAGAAGTCACCGCATGAGACCCAAGCCGCCAAGAAAATCAAGACCCCGGACTTACCCTCTTTCATCACGATTATGGAGCGGGCGTGGGTGGTGTCCGCAGCCAGCATCACGAAGTCGGGGCCCTTGATACCCAGCAATGTCTCCATTTCGCTATTATTTATATACTTTCGGGGCTTTCGGGGAAATTTCCAAGTTGTTTGTGAGTTGCCGAAAAGCAATGACAAGCAATAGTTAGGAGCAGTGTGTGACCGTGGCAACGAAAAATACCGGACCGGTGAAAAGATACTAACGAAAGTTTGTCACCGAAATTAAGTAACAGCTTATTAATAAATATGTTAAATACAAAAATAAAATAAATTAATGTTTATTAAAATAAAAAGAACTTCTTTAAATAATATAAATAATAATAAAAAAAATAATATAAGGTCCTTTAATTCCTTTATTATTTTTACAGATGCAAGTATTTTAACATTTTTAAATTGTTTATTAAGTTAATAATCAGTCAAGTATTTTTGGTCGATACAAACCTTGTATTTGTAATTGTTTAGTAGTACTTGAAAAATATTTATAAACTTTTTATTTTTTAAATATTTAAAATAAATTTTTTTGACCCCCATGCTACGAGTACATTTTTTTTAGTTGGTCACACTGGCCATTGCTATCATTTTTTATTTCACAATTAACTTCTAAAATAATAGCTATTAAACTCTAAGCCATGCAGGCACCTCCTCCAGAACACTGTCCTGGCGTGGAGAGCGAGGAGGCGGGCAAGGGAAACGCCTGCGCCGGCTGCCCCAACCAGAGCATCTGCAGCGATCCCAACAAGAAACTGGAGGATCCCGGCAAGGCTCTGGTGGCTGAATCGCTCAAGGATGTGCGCAACAAGCTGCTGATCCTGTCCGGAAAAGGCGGCGTGGGAAAAAGCACGGTGACCACTTTGCTGACCCGCTACCTGGCCAGGAGCTGTCCGGACAGCAACTTTGGCGTCCTGGACATCGACATTTGTGGTCCATCGCAGCCTCGTTTGATGGGCGCCCTGGGCGAGAATGTTCATCAGTCTGGATCCGGCTGGTCACCCGTGGGAATCGATGACAATGTCTGCCTAATGTCCATTGGCTTTTTGCTCGGCTCTGTGGACGATGCCATCATTTGGCGGGGTCCCAAAAAGAACGGCATGATTCGGCAGTTCCTGAGCGAAGTGGACTGGGGCGATTTGGATCTGCTGCTGTTGGACACACCGCCCGGCACCTCCGATGAGCACATGTCCGTCGTTTCCTATCTGAAGGACGACACTAAGCCGGAATCCCTGCGCGCCGTCTTGGTGACCACTCCACAGGAGGTGGCTCTGTTGGATGTGCGCAAGGAGATCAACTTTTGCAAGAAACAAAATATCCCAATTGTGGGCGTCATCGAGAACATGTGCAGTTTCCGTTGCGGCAACTGTGGAAATAGCTCTGAGATCTTTCCAGCCAAAACCGGAGGAGCTGCGGCCATGTGCGCCGAGATGGGAGTGCCGCTGCTGGGCTCCCTGCCCTTGGATCCCCAGGTGGCCAAGGCCTGCGACTCTGGTGAGGATATAACGGAGATTAAGAACCCCACCACTGAGGCGCTGGAAGGAATTTGTTCAAAGATTATGGCTAGCTTTAGTTAAGAATGTAAATTTTATAATATACAAATTTTGCTTAATAATACAAAAACATTGACAGAACGAGTGGTCCTACTTAACATGTAACAAAGGTTGGTTGCTGGTACATGATTTACTTATAGAAATTAGTATTTTTGAATGAAACAAATTAGCTGGGGTCATTTTATATACAGCCCACTCTCTCATCAGCGTTTAAATAATCAAATTATAAGGAAATTAGCAGTTTACAACATGAAGCTTCACAAGAGAGAACAGGCCTTCAGTAGTCTAATAATAAAATACGCATTTGCTTTTAAGTTAAGCATTAACCAGCGGTGGAGAACAGGGCGGACTGTCTAAGGAGACATCCGTTGTTATTCTGCCCGTGGCGTTCGTTTGTTGAATGGCTTCTGCGATGACAGCGCGCTCCACAGTTTGGGCAAAAGTGGTATCCCTTCCTGTGCTTTCCAAGGGCGGAGCAAAGGTGGTTTCTCTTCCTCCCAACTGACTAATCAAGCTGACTATTTGTTCTGAAGCCCTGGCTTGGGTATCCTGTGTTTGATTCTCATCGGGCTGTATGGTAACATCCTGTTCGATGGTCCCGCCCACATACTGACTGTTGGCGATGACGGGCTGCTGAGTAGGCAGCGCAGGCGGATAGTTTAGCATGGTGATGGAGTCCGTGCAGTCGCTGACCTTGTATATGCCCACAAGAAAGTTGGCCAGCTCGAACATGTTGACGCGAAGTGAAACAATGATGAACTGGGCGTTCTTCGTGCGTTCCTAAATAAGGAATAACATAGGTATTAGAATGTAAGAATAGATTACAAAATCACTCGCTTACTCACCTTTATATAGTGCCCTACAATTGAGACATTCTTGAAATCAAGCGCAGCATCGATTTCATCCATGAAGTACAGCGGCGAGGGCTTGTAGTAATGAAGAGCAAATACCAGGGCCAGCGAGGACAGAGTCTTCTCACCACCTGAGAGATTCGAGATGTATTTCCAGCTTTTCTTGGGGGGTCGCACTGTGAAGTTCACGCCCTCGGTGAAGGGATCCATGGAGTCCACCAGCTCCAGCTCTGCATCTCCACCCAACGTGATCATTTGGTACATTTCCTTAAGCTTTCTTGTTATAATGCTGAATCCATCCATGAACTCCTTGTAGCGACGCTTTCGCACCTCCTCATACTT